TCCTTTTTTCTCTGATAATCAAAGTTACTAAATGTGGATAGTAATAGTAACTGAAGAATGCAAAAGCTTTGAGCTGTTCTGAAGATGTTTGATTGCCTTATGTTTTTGTTTCATTATATTTTCAGTGAGAACAACCCGCAACAACAAACCACAAACAATTTCTTTATATGATACCGATGCATGTATGCAGGACACGTTTGCCAAAACAGTGCCAAAAACAAATGGAATATCACAGAAAGACTGTAAGGGTATGGCTCATTTTCTTTTCCTCAAAACGTGCCTTTCCCCCCTCAAAACTGACGTATCGTAATTCCTATTCCGTTCTAAAACTCCAAGCTCAATGCTCAAAAATTGAGATCTCTGTTTTGACCAGCATCTTCTGGAAGTCCCTCAACCAGGCATTGCAGCAACTGGTGTCTCAATATACTTTTACTACTTAGCATACTGTGAGGACGCCAGGGAAAGAGTGTGCTTATTGCCCAAGGAAATTTTTCATGAAGTTGTCAGGTAATGCCTTATTTATGCCCAGCTTGTTGGTTGATTGATCAGTTTCTCCACACCTTCCTCCTTGCAGTCACAAAGACTTCTGATCACTATCTTAAATAAGACAACCTTGATTGCCCTCATTGATGTAGATGTCTCAAGGTCTGCAAAACATCATGGAGTAGTAATTTCAAGTTGGTCGTAGTGTGAAGTGCCACAAAGATTTTTCAAACAAAAAGAAAAAATTTGTATTCAGATTTTATTATCACTGGCAGTTGGCATTATTGATGACTATTAGGTGTTGGATTTTTTCAGTTGTCATCAATATTTTGACGTGTGTGTAACAATGCTGATTTCTAGAATAAGCACTGAGCATGAACCAGGGTTGACCTAAATAATTAAGGTTTCTGTCGGTGGTCCATAAGTGGGAAACATCACAATAAATAACCGTAAATCACCTATATTTCTTCACTTTTAGCCCTGGCTCTCATTTGGATGAAATAAGTAGTCAAGAGTTCATTTTCATGGTTTTACCTCTCTTGAAAACTTTCATGAGTTCAAAGGAAGGGACCTTTCTCTAGAAATCTAGTTCATATAGATTGACTTTACATCTCAGACCATCATGTGGCAACAAAGAAGTACTTACTTTAGTTTATGATCGAAAGAAAAAGGAGGATATGTGTGAAAAGCATCTAATCAAGAGAATATAATCACCTAATTTATTTCTTTTTCCTTGCAGTTCCTGAGTCACGTTTTTGATAAGAACGTGGTTGGTTTGATTTTAAATTTCATCGACAATATTGGAAACAAAACGTTCATCGCGGTTAGCCTTTGAAGCTCTGAAATACCTGGCTGCACTTCTGTGCCACAAAAAGTTCTCAATCAAGTTTCTCAGCATGAATGGTCTCCAGGTATGAATAAGTCTTAGAAAATCCATTTCTTTATAGCTTTCTTTCAGTATCGTCCATCGCATTCTCGTTGATGTTACTCTGTAGTAATAATTTATGATTTTTAGCTTTTCTAACTCACTTCAGTATCTTTTGTGGGAGGTTAGGTGGGGGGGGGGGATGAAAGAGTGTAGAAGCATTTAGAAACGTATTGCACTTTTGTCTTCGCATTTAAAACTTTAGTTACCTTGTGAGAATTCTGCTCACAAATTTTTGAACACTTTGTGAGCCAGTTTAAGTTGTCTGTTGTGATAATCTAATTTTGTGCTTTTCTCTCTTCGTGCAGCATCTTCTGGAAGTCCCTCAACCAGGCATTGCAGCAACTGGTGTCTCAATATGCTTTTACTACTTAGCATACTGTGAGGACGCCATTGAAAGAGTGTGCTTATTGCCCAAGGAAATTTTTCATGAAGTTGTTAGGTAATGCCTTATTTATGCCCAGCTTGTTAGCTGAATGATCAGTTTCTCCACACCTTCCTCCTTGCAGTCACAAAAACTTCTGATCACTCTATCTTAAAAGACAACCTTGATTGCCCTGATTGATGTAGATGTCATCATCATGTAAATGTCATGCGTAAAACATCATGGAGTAGTAAATTCAAGTTGGTCGCAGTGTGAAGTGCCACAAAGATTTTTCAAACGAAAAGGAAAATTTGTATTCAGATATTTTTATCACTGGCAGTTGGCATTATTCATAACCATTAAGTGTTGGATTTTTTCAGTTGTCATCAATATTCATGAAATTTAAAAAATTTCCATCCTCTTATTCTAGGTATGGTCTATGGTTACTAGGATGTTCACATGATTCAGGCAGATGTCACGCTACGATGTTCTTCGGTTCTACTTCAATTTCAGTCCATCCTTGAGGAGTTTGATACTCAAGTTGGACTTAGAATCTTATATAATGTTGTGAGTTTTTTTTTGGTTTCGTTCTATAAATTTCACTCTGCATAGTAATATAGTTTTAATTGTTCCTTAAAATTTTTACCTCTATATAATTTGCGAATAATTAAATAAGTAAGTGGATAAATACTTAGATAAAGAATTGATGTAGTTCGTCTTAAGTAGAAGTTTTCAATAATGGAAAGGAAAAATTATAAATGAATACAATTTTTAATGTGAAAATTAATTAATATTTAAGCACCTGCGACTTGTTTACATCAAATTGAGTGCAATACTAATTTAAGTAATGTTTTCTAGAATTCGAATTCTAGTTCTAGACCTACGTAATAATAATTCTAAACTAACTAACTAAACAACCAACCACTGCAATGGAAACCAGACGTTTTTCAAAAATGAAGTTTCTTCGTTAAGAGAATGCTTAAGAAAGTGAAATTCCCTTGAGTTTTAAGGGGAACACCCACAAAAAATTTCACCCTCCTACTTGTTTATGGCAAATTTAGTCTTGATGTAATTTCTTATTTTTGCAGATGAGTATGTTACAACTCTTATCAAACGAAGGTGATACAGTCAACGTGTATGTTATGTGTGCGTCGCTCTGAAACGTTACTTACAGGCCCCTCCCTTTTTTTTTAAGGTGCACAAACTCCAACTAGGTGAAATAGGACTGCCAAGTGATAAGGTAGGCATTTTTTAACGAATTAGCAGGCTAAATTTGTGTGGACTGGTCATGATGCAACATATTAAGAAGTAAAAAACGGTGAAGGCAGACAGTATATGAAGAAACAAATTTTCCCCCTTTTTCTCTCGAGCGGATAATTTTTCATAGTTTCATCCACTCAAAGTTGTTTCATGTTTCTGTTCAATTTATTCCTAATCTAAACCAACCATATCTAATCCATCTATATTTTTTAACTTTTTCCAGCCAGGTTTTGAGAGTCACGGTTGAGGTGAGTTCAGCGTGGCAAAGAAATCAGGCCTGTCGACAGAACGCCACTGGTTTCGCTCTTATCAGAGCCTATCATCAGCGAAACCAGTGGCGTTCCGTTGACAGGCCTGATTTCTTTTCCCTCACTGAACTCTCCTCAACCGATACCCTTGAAAGTAAAGCTGCGCTGTATCAAAAGATCAAAATATGGCTAGAACAAGTAAAAAAATATTGGTAAACAATATACAGCCAAAAAGAAATTTAACTCTCGGCTTGTATCTAATCTGTTCCAGTTTTTAGCTAGCAAATCATGCCAGTACAGTTTGCCGGGTAGCTTAATGTTGAACAAATTGTAAATATGTAATTCACGCAAGTTAAGCGTCTAACTATTATCTCATGTTTTCTGCATTATTACAGATTTGCAAAAGTTCACCGGAAGAAGTTTTAGAGCAGATTGAAACCATGATGGAACTATTTTCATTTCGTGACACTTGGGATCCTGTGAATAAGCTTTTCAACTTCGGAGGCGTATAACTCTTTTATTGCGAGTCTCTATTTTTGCTTATGAGTGGAACTATTCCAGCAGGTAAGTGAAAATCCAACACAGGCATATAAACACTAACTGTATCTAAACTTAAAAATCAAATATAAAGTTAATAACAGCATTTCCCCGGAAAGTGCTGAAAATATAACAAATAAAAAACAAACTTTGACGTCTGCTACAAACAATGAAATTGAGGAAAATCGGGCAGTAAAGCTTTTTCTGCGCTTTCTGACCCACTCTCCTAACCACTACTGGAGATTTGACTAGCAGATTCAACTATCCGTCAGTTTTGCAACTCCTCCTCAAATTTGAGGAAACTTCTCAGTAAAAATTAGAAAAAAATGGCCGCAAGCAGTTTTGCATGCGCCTACGACCCATGAAGTACAGCTAATAACATTTTATTCTTTAGTGTATAATCGGAAGAAAACCACAATGGGCTTATAAAAATAGTCTGAAATCTGCTGATTTTGTAACTTGCTTTTCAAAGTTTCCTGTGTTCACGGGTAGTTTTTCTCAGTCCTCGGCAAGCAGGATGGTAAAGACGGAGGAGAAAAAGAAACCTGATCGAACTAAACAAGCGCATTTTCATACATTCTTTCTAGTGTATGATTTCAGTTGTTTTCGAGCGTCTATCTCCTTCTCCTCCCTTTGTTTCCCCAAAATAAGAGGTCTGATCAGTTGATATCTTGCCGAAAAAAAGTGTTTAACAGTCTGCGAGATAGTTTGTTTATTGATGTCAGGTTTTCCCGAGTCTCCCTCTCGGTCAACCTGACTGCCGGCTATGAAGAAAAAGTGCCTGCATACGTAGTAAGTAAATTTTCGTAAGCACATTACGCTCTAAGAGTGATTTTATTTTGCTTGTCGTAGCTTGAGCGTCATCAAACAACTCATTTGGCATCTTCGAACATTATTGTGGATTTTACACTATTTGTTAAATTAGGTTTTTGCATCACTTCTTTTTTCTCTGATAATCAAAGTTACTAAATGTGGATAGTAATAGTAACTGAAGAAAGCAAAAGCTTTGAGCTGTTCTGAAGATGTTTGATTGCCTTATGTTTTTGTTTCATTATATTTTCAGTGAGAACAACCCGCAACAACAAACCACAAACAATTTCCTTATATATTACCGATGCATGTATGCAGGACACGTTTGCCAAAACAGTGCCAAAAACAAATGGAATATCACAGAAAGACTGTAAAGGTATGGCTCATTTTCTTTTCTTCAAAACGTGCCTTTCCCCCCTCAAAACTGACGTATCGTAATTCCTATTCCGTTCTAAAACTCAAAGCTCAATGCTCAAAAATTGATATTTCTGTTTTGACCAGCATCTTCTGGAAGTCCCTCAACCAGGCATTGCAGCAACTGGTGTCTCAATATACTTTTACTACTTAGCATACTGTGAGGACGCCATTGAAAGAGTGTGCTTATTGCCCAAGGAAATTTTTCATGAAGTTGTTAGGTAATGCCTTATTTATGCCCAGCTTGTTAGTTGATTGATCAGTTTCTCCACACCTTCCTCCTTGCAGTCACAAAGACTTCTGATCACTATCTTAAAAGACAACCTTGATTGCCCTCATTGATGTAGATGTCTCAAGCTCTGTAAAACATCATGGAGTAGTAAATTCAAGTTG